AAGTGTGTTGATGATTTTAAAAGCGGGTTTACACCTTGTTTTCAAAAATTTCTTGAGAGTTTGAACTATATTGTGAGGAAAAAATGCTTTGGAGACATTCTTTCAAAAAGATGAGGAAATGTCTAGTTTTGGTGAAAACCTAGAACTTTGAGATTTTTGGAAGAGATGTTGAGAATTCATGGGTGTTTACCTATTTAAATGAATAAATGATTGGGAATTTCATATTGTTATATATAAATGAGAAATTCCATGGAATATGAAAAATAGTTGATTTTGAAGTTTATTGTTCAAAATGTGGGCATAGTCATGAAATGACTATATTGTTGAGAATGCATGAAATGTAGAAATGTACTACTTTTTTGATAGATGTAAATGAATATATGTTTATCTTGTGAAATTGCATTGAAAAGAAAAATGAGAATTTTGATCACAATGGAAATATTGTGTGAAAGAGTTGAAAATGGAAGAATATTATATCGCATTTATATATGTTGCATTGGCATTTCAAATTCTTTTGGTTGTTACAAATTTGAATTGGGATTTAAAAACTTTTGCATTGAGAAAGGAAATATTTGTTAAACAAGATCTCATTGATTTGTTTTTGGGGTAAATACGTTAATAAGTCCGGACAGGGGGTGTCGATGAAATTGATTAAGTTGGCCTAAGTGTCCAAGGTGAAAAACCGAAAACACGCGAGGAGTAGGTACCACGTGCCTTCTAATTAGCTACTGGTAAAGTGGGGATTTGGTAATGCTAGTTATGCCTACTTGCAGACACCAACCTAGGGATTACCTGAGTTGTATTTACCGCCCCTTGAACTTGATTTAAGATTATTGGATTGTTAAATTTTCAAGATCTCATTGTGCATGATGGTTTTCAAAAGGATGGAGATGCAACTTTCTTTTAAAGGCATAGAATGGCATATGCATTTCACCTTATGAGAATTGTACAAAATGTATATACTTTGTTAAGAATTTCCTACTGGGTTTTATACTCACCCTCTAGGATTTTGTGTAGGAAAAGATGTGGTGATTCTGCCAAATTAAGGGCGTGGAGTGTATCTTGAGAGCACAAGGCTCTTGTTTTCGTTGTGATTATTTTTGTAAGCCAAGGGCTATATAAGTGTGGGTTTAAGCAACCATTTTGTGTTATCGGTCTTAAGCCTTGGACTTTCTAGCCCCTTGTGGGCATTTATTTACTCTTGATTGGTTATTTCACATGCTATAGATTCATGTACGAAGGTAGTTGAATGTACATTCGCATATGGGACCTCCTTTTGTAAACCTCTTATGATTATGAATGAAATGTTAGAGATTTTGGGGTCGAAGTGAATATTGGAAATTACTTATGTTTACCATAAGGATTGGTTGTTGGTGCATTTTTATTATGTAAATTTTGGGACGTTACAAGCGTGATATTGCATGTGTTATGATTATGTTCATTATCTTCTTCAATTGATGATGTTCATGTTTATGTGGATATTACTATCTTGTAAGTTGTTCTAACTTTATTTTAAGACATCTAACTCAACAGAAACCTTAATTGGGGTGGTATTGGGTATTCGATCACTTGGATAATGAAAAGATGATAATGTGTTATGTATGGATTGATGGGATATGCTCCCTAATTGAAGGTTATGTCGTTCGCAAGTAGTTATCGCGTAAACCCTAGAATGGAACAGACGTATTCGGACTCTTTGCGATGGTTTGATTGGTGAGATGAGGTTGGGTCTAGATAGGACATTCAAGAGGATAAAACTTTTTTTGGAACGATAAGGTTGGATCCAGGGTGATAAAACCTTTTCTTCTCACTGTCCCTTTTGAGGCCTTGTGGTTGGCGCTACGTAGTATATAATCATTGATAGGCATCCAAAGTAAGTTCTGCAACAAAGCAGCAAAAGGGGGAGTTCCGAATAATCTATTGTCCAATTCTTGTGGTTGAGAGGATGAAATCTCTTTGGAGGATTTCTAGATTACTAACACCTAACCTTGTAATCCTTTATTATTGAATGATTATCATGCTTCATTACTTGTTTGTTATAATTATGATGGTGTATTGGATTGGGAAAAAAGGGACGGGGTGTGTATGCATTTGCTGGGCATTCAAAGCTCATGGCGTTTCATACCAGGTATTGAAGACTATTAGGCCAGCCAAAGGCAAAACTGAAGCATTTGAGGACGTACGGCTACCCTAGGAGGATTAGAAACTAGTTGTAAACGTGTTTTGAGATTATAAGTGATAGATCCCATGTTGTATTTAAGACATGATTTTATAATTATTATATATCTATACATATCTTTTATATTACCTATTCTTTTTTTATCGTCGACTCATGTAGACCTTGTGTTAATATCTTATTAAGATCTGTCAAAATGGTAGCTTTGCTATCTAAGGTGGTTGGACTTTGAAAGGAGACTATATTGACTCTTCCGACCTTCCTGAGATCTTACTTGATTATTAACCAAAGGACTCATTAGTGACGTTTCCTATTTTATAATCTTAGATAAACCCTGTATTTATTTATTAATATATTCTTTGATGTTCCCAATTTTTGGGGTGTCACATTTTTTGAGTCACTTTTTTTATCTCTGTCTCTAAACATTTCAAAATTCTAAAATCTTCACTTTCTCTATCTAGTTCTTACCTTTTAGCTCTAACTACTCTCAATCCATTGGTTTTCTACCCTCGCCCTTTAGAGTAAAAGATAGAGCACATCGAGGGCTTCGTTCTAATCGGAGGAGTTATTATTTTCGGCTCCACCAAGTTCTACCTTTTGCTTTCCCTTGTCTTCTACTTTGAGGTAGGGATTTCTTTGAACTTCAATATGGTTTTTAGCTTAGTTATTTGCTCTTTGAAATGAGCTAGTGATTTCGGAATTTTTTGGGAAAACCTAGGGTTTGATTTTGAAATCAAAAAAGGGGTTTTCCAAATGGGTTCTTGAAAATGGTTGTGGGGATGTGTTTATGGTTGAGATATGTTAAAATGGTGGATCTCCTTTCTTAAAATTAATTTTGTAAGAAAATAGGATTTTATTCTAAAATGTTGGATATTTAGAATTGTGAAAGGAAATGGAAAATGATGTTGAGTTTTGTAAGATTGGAAAAATGTTTTTGCTGATGATGATGGTGGAGTTGGATATGTAATATAACTCTCATTGTGAATAATGAAATTATATCTTTTGATTGGAAATTATCTGTTGAATAGAAATATCTATTTTGGACTATCGGTGAAAGATAGTCTTGATTGTTGTAGACATTGCATGAGGATTATATTAAATTGTAACTAATTTCTCATACATTATGCATTGAGCATCATTTCTTATTAAACATTGTAAATGTATTGATTTTGAGAAAAAAAAATGGTGAATACCTTGGTGAATCTGGTTAAAGGGTGTGGTTGTGGTTATGAAGTTGGCATGTGTGTCCTTAGTGAAAGTCTAGAAACCCATGCGGTTAGGTGTCAATCCTTCTAGTTAGTACCAGTAAAATGACTTTGGTAGTGCTTGTATAGCCTACTGGTAGACACCTAGATATTCCCAGTATTTTGTATCCACTGCCCTGTTTTCTGTTATAAAATGATTATTTTCATGAATTGATTTATAATCTGGCATGGCATTGTTTTGAGATGAAAATGAAGGAATGTTTGACAAATGGCATGCATGTGCATTCACCTTATAACTTTGTTAAGATTCGTATATTATGTTAGAATATCTCTACTTAGTTTTGGCTCACCCTATGTGAAAAACAACTTTTAGGTATTGATGATATGCCTCCACCAAGGACGTACCTTGAGAGCACTTAGAGCTTAGGGCTTCATTTTATGTTTATTGATGTAATTATTTTTGTTTAAGTCTCAGGCTTTACCTGTGTTGAGTTAAACTCATTTTATTGTACCCAAGCATCGACTTGAAAAGTTGTAGCCATTACGGCATATAATTATTTGGTTCTACTTTTATTTTAATTCATATATCCATGTCATGTGTTATAAATTCAGAATTTAGAATTTATGAATGTATAATCTTTTGTATTGATCAAGGTTATGAATGGAATAGAAGATGTAATGTCGTTGATCGATTGTAAATAATATTATGAGTTGGATTATTGTGATTTATTTTGGGGCGCTACAATCCTTGTCTTTAGTCTCTATTCCATGAAAATAACTTTATTGAAACAAATAGGCAAACACCCTTAGTGCAATACTGCCCTCATAACTACTCATCAACCCCTCCACATCATACAAATTACAAATTAGCTTCATAATTATTGATTTGTATGCATCATTGAATCAATAACAATGATGCTACACGCACAAATTGGTATACTAATGAGTGTAGTAACGTATGCAATAGTATTGCAATTTCAAAACTATGGACCCTACACATTATATAAATTACAAAGACTCAAAACCAATAAATTATACCGCAACATTTGTTAGTACACTAATTGATACATATAACTTTATTCTAAATCAAAACTTTAGGAACCAAATAGACCAAAACGATGATAGAAGAATGAAATAGGAAAAATAGCTATTGTTTAGGGAATAAAGATGGGAGTTTCTATTTCCACGTACTATTTCCTGTTTGTGCACATTCCTCTCAATTCGCACACTAACGCCTCGTTTGGGAACAGGCTAATTTAGTAACTTTTTGGCTATTTGGCTAAAATATGAGCTGAAAAAAAACTAGTATGTTTGGGATGACTTTTTAACTTTTTACGAAAAGATATGCAAAAAGTAGAAAGAAAAGAGAATCTTTGACTTTTTGGTATGGATTGTTGGCTTTTTGATTTTTTTAGTAACTTTTTGACTTTTTAGCTAAATGGGAGGGTTCCCAAACGGGGCTAAAAAATTGTAAACATTTAATATTGGTCCACACATTTTCTATTTCCAATATAGCCTACATGTAACATGGTCCTCTCTCTCTAGAGTGGAGGTTTTTTTCTTGCCTTATGCAAGTTTTTTTCTTGTGATAGAAGGTTGGCGGAGGTGGTAGTGAAGCGATGGCTGACTCCCTTCTCGACCTTACTCGTACGCTATCTCTCACTTTAGAGGAGGACACAGTTGTGAGGCTCGGGGGGGACTCTACAAGCTTGATGATGGGCAAATCGGATATGTGCCTTGTCAGCAAGTTGCTCACTCGTAGGCCGTTTAATGTTGACGCCATGAAGAGTACTCTGCTATCGGTGTGGCAACCCACTAAAGGAATGCAAGTACGAGTCATTGGTGACAACCTGTTTGTTTTCGTGTTTGGTCATGTTGTGGATAAACGGAGAGTATTATTGAATGGCCCTTGGACGTTTGATAAGCACCTTCTAATGTTGGGCGAGATGGATCCAAATGTTCAACCATTTGACATTCAATTGACATCGGTGCACTTCTGGGTGCATGTTTGCAATCTTCCTCTAATTCTGATGAATAAAGAGGTTGGGCAAATAGTTGGCAACTCTGTTGGACAGTTTCTTGATATGGATTTTGAAGATGGTGGAATTGCATGGGGTCGAACAATGCGAATTCGAGTGGCCATTGATGTTCGGAAGCCCCTACGATGGGGGATGAAATTTGCTTTGTCCTCTGCCAACCCTATCTGAGTGAATTTCAAATATGAGCGCCTCCCAATTTATTGCTATTTTTGCGGAAGTCTCGGCCACAGCGATCGAGAGTGTGATGCTAAACTCTCTTCTGCCGATGGCACTCGGGTTGATGTGTTGCAATATGGGGCATGGTTGAGGATGGATACTTTCAAATGCAAAGGGCCTCGTCTCACTGGTCCGATTGATCGAGAAGTAGGGATGAGGCCTCCTGGTGGTCAAGGGACACCGATGCGGATGATTTCTGAACATATGAATCAGGAGGAGGGGGCACCGCAGAGTGTTTCGCCACCCTGTGCTCCGGTGGTTGTGGTAGCTAACCGGCGTCGGGATAGGAACGCACACGGTGGAGAAACTCTCATTCCCGTGATTGATGGCGTTGGTAAAGGAAACGTGGTGCATGTGGCTACAATTTCGGGCAGTACCATATATTCACCCACGTCTACTACTTTTGAATTTATGAATGGGCGGGAGGTTACTACAGAAGGAGGGCCGGGGCATCAATCTCAACATTCCAGTTTGGGCCTAGGTGGGGCCAAGCCCACGGCAATTGAGTCAGGTTTGGTGGCCCAATTTTCTCCCATGGCTCCTAATCTTTTGATGGAGGTTGAGGCTAGCCCACTGAGTGAATCAGTGCTGTCCAAAAAGAAGTGGAAGAGGGTGGCCCGTCAACATATGGATCCCAATACTGCTCACTCCCCTGTTACGGGGACTAAGAGAGTGCTTGAGGAGGTGGTAGTTAATGATGGGAATCTGAGTGATGAAACTTGGGATGTGAAGGCTGGGAAACGTTTGTGTGTGCATGGGGGTGATGCTATCAACCCATATAACAATATTTCAACGGTGGAGGCTGATGTTTAGCCCCGCCGATCCCAATGAATGTGTTATGCTGGAACTGCCGCGGGCTTGGGAACCCACGGTCAGTTCGATCTCTTCAGTTTCTACTGAAAACAGAAGTTCTTGGGCTGGTTTTTCTCATGGAGACCAAGATCGATTCGAAGCATGTGGATGGGATTCGACAAAAACTGGGATTTTGTGGTGGTTTTTATGTTAACCGAGTTGGACTTGCGGGCGGACTTGCTTTGTTATGGCCAGCGGCTATCCAGGTTAGTGTGAAAAGTCATTCGGTTGGTCATATTGATGTATTTGTGGACTCTGGATTGGGGGAACACCCTTGGAGATTTATAGGATTTTACGGACACCCGGAAATGGCACAACGGAAAAATTCTTGGGCATTATTGCGGAGACTAGCAACATGCTTCCAAATGCCTTGGCTTTGTGCGGGTGATTTTAATGAAATTTTGTTTTGTCGCGAGAAGTGTGGCGTCGTGGGGCGTAGTCCATCCCAAATGGAACATTTTCGGAATGTTGTTGCAAATGCACACCTGGCTGATCTGGGTTTTGTTGGGCCAATTTTCACTTGGTCCAATAACCGAGGTGGCAACACTTTGGTTCGGGAGCGATTGGACCGTGGGTTTGCTAATGATGCTTGGCAACTCTTGTTTCCACATGCAAAGGTTTATCCTATGGCATGCACATCCTCCAATCACTTACCTATTTGTGTTGACATTTGTGGGGTTAAAGAACAACGTCAATCTCTTGCTAGTGGTCATCGCATGTATCGGTTCGAAGCTATGTGGCTACGGCATGCAAGTTGTGAGCAAGTAGTTGCCGATAATTGGTTGCCTTCTTCTAATGCGAATGTTCGAAGTTTGGTGTCTACTATTGCACATGTAAGTTCTTCGTTGCGACGGTGGGATCGTAATGTTTTTGGATGTGTCAAGCGACAGTTAAAGGAGAAAACCGATCAATTACAGCGGTTGCTTACGCTAAGTTCCAATTTTCCGGACGATGTTGCAGAAATGTGTAAGCTACGTTGTGATATTGATGAGCTTTTAGAACAGGAATCTATTTTTTGGGGTCAACGTGCTCGGGCTAATTGGCTAAAGGATGGGGACCGTAATACTTCATTTTTTCATTCCAAGGCCACCCAACGTCATAAGCAGAAGAAAATTGCTGGTATTATTGATCCTAATGGAATTTGGCAAGAGGATCAAAGAGTGGTGGAGGACAATTTTGTGAATTATTTTCAGGAATTATTTTCGGCGGGTGAGGGACTGAACATGGGCCCAATATTGCAGTTGATTCAGGAGAGAGTTTCCGATCACAGTGCATCTCAATTGAGTAGACCATTTTCTGAAGTTGAGGTCCACCATGCGCTTTTCCAAATGCATCCAACGAAGGCTCCCGGGCCCGATGGTAAGCCTGCTTTATTTTTTCAAAAATTTTGGCAAGTGGTGGGTCCTAGTGTGAGCTCTGTGGTGCTTGGGGTGTTGAATGGGGTTGATGAGATTTCACATATTAATCATACCTTCATTGTGCTGATTCCTAAAATTAAGAATCCCAAGCTCATGTCAGAATTTCGGCCAATTAGTTTGTGTAATGTTGTCTATAAAATAATTTCAAAAATGTTGGCCAATCGTCTTAAAGAGGTGCTGCCTTCTGTAATTTCCGACACTCAAAGTGCGTTTATTCCGGGCCGTCTCATTACTGATAATGCATTGGTGGCATTCGAAGTGTTCCATTTTCTCAAGAATAAGAGAGCCGGAAAGGATGGTTGCCTGCCGTTGAAACTTGACATGAGTAAAGACTATGACCGAGTGGAATGGCCATTTATTAATCAAATGATGCTCCTATTAGGATTTCCGCAACGGTTTGTGCAACTACTTATGAATTGTGTGTCCACTATTTCTTTTTCTGTGCTTGTTAATGGGAAGCATTCCAGAATGTTTTACCCAACAAGGGGCCTCCGCCAAGGGGATCCGCTTTCGCCTTATTTGTTTACTATTTGTGCGGAAGGAATGTCGGCGCTCCTCGCCCATGCTATGGCAGCTAATCGGTTGTCCGGAATTTCAATTTGCCGGGGTAGTCCACGCTTGTCGCATTTATTTTTTGCCAATGATAGTCTTCTATTTGCGGCTGCTAAGGAAGATGAGGTGGGTGTTTTGCGAGATATTCTCCAAAAGTATGAGCAAGCATCGAGGCAGAAAATTAATTTCCAAAAATCGGCTGTTTGTTTTAGTAAAAATACGGACTTGGTTACTCAGCGAGTGGTGACATCTATTCTTGGGGTGGGTTCATTGGCGTCGTACGGGAAATATTTGGGGCTACCATATTGTGTGGGGCATTCTAAGCGCGCCGTTTTGGGGTTTGTTAAGGAGCGCGTATGGACTCGATTAAATGGTTGGAAGGAAAAAATTTTATCGGTGGCGGGTAGAGAGGTACTCATTAAGTCTGTTGCTCAAGCCATACCCACTTATATTATGTCCTGTTTTCGCCTCCCTGATGGAGTGTGCCATGAAATTGAGTCTATGGTGTGCAATTTTTGGTGGGGACAAAAAGAGGAAACCCGTAAAATTCATTTGACTAGCTGGAAACAATTGTATAAGTCTAAATTACAGGGTGGTATGGGATTTCGGTGCCGTCAACATTTCAATTCAGCTTTGTTGGCCAAACAGTGTTGGCGATTAGTGCAGCAGCCTCAATCTTTGGTTGCGCGGGTCTTTAAGGCTAGGTACTTTCCTCAAACTTCATTTCTTGAGGCTTTGGTCGGGAGTAATCCATCTTTCACCTGGAGGAGTATAGTCGGATCTCGAAGTCTATTAAATGTTGGGCTTCGATGGCGTGTTGGGAATGGTGCGAACATCTCGGTTAAGTATGATAAATGGGTTCCACGGCCTCACTCTTTTAAGGTAATTTTGCCACCTTCAACTCTTTCGGATGATGCGCGGGTTAGTGATTTGATTGATTCTGAGAAGGGTGCATGGTATGATGAGATGCTTACGCAAAATTTTTTGGGCATGGATGTGGAGGCTATCCGATGCATTCCTCTTTGTCCCACGTTACCTTCGGATAAATTGGTCTGGCATTTTTCCCGAAATGGTGAGTTTTCGGTACGATCAGCATATCATTTGTGTATGGATATGACCTCTTTGGATGGCCACGGTGCTACCTCCACTAATGGGCAGTCGCATAGACAGTTCTGGCGAGGTTTCTGGCAGCTTCATTTACCGACCAAACTCAAGATTTTTGGCTGGAAAATGTGTCTTGGGTTGTTAGCTGTAAGGGCCAATTTGCGGCAACGTCATATCGTCAATATGGATTTATGTCCTGGGTGTGGAGTGGAGGCTGAAACGGTAGGCCATTGTTTTCACAACTGAGGTTTTGCCATGAAAGTGTAGATGTCGAGCTCACTTAATTTGGTTATCAAATCTACTCCTGTTAATAATTGTTTTGAGTGGGTCTATCAACTCATGGCCACAACTGGTCCAGAACCCATGCAATTATTTATTGCTATTTGTTGGTGCCTTTCGAATAATAGAAACTCCATTATGTTTGACAATAAATCAAGGACTGTGGAGGAAGTTGTTTCTTTCGCGGTGAATTATGTATCCGAATATGATCAAGCACAAGAGCGCGGCCATCTTCCTGCGGCCTAGGTGCGGTTGCGAAGGTGGGTTGTGCCACATGAGGGTGTCTTCAAACTGAATTTTGATGGCTCTGTTAGGAAGACCCATGCCAGTGCTGGTGTTGGCATTATTATTCGGGACTATCATAGGGAAGTCATTGCGTCTATGGTTGAGCGGATCCCGTATATGGAGGATGTTGATTGTGTGGAAGCTATGGGTGCGATAAAAGCTCTTCAATTGGGATGTGATTTGGGGTTGGGGCATATTCATCTTGAAGGTGATTCTCAAAATGTGGTGGCTGCAATTCAAGGTAAGGCGGATAATTTATCTTGCTATGGTCATTTTGTGGGTGTGGCTCAAGCGCTTCTCTTGCGGTTTCTTTCTTCATCGGTTTCGCATGTTTGTCGAGATGGCAATTCGGTGGCTCATTGTTTAAGTAGGCTAGCCTTTGATTTTGATTCGCCATGTGTTTGGATGGAGGAGGTTCCTTCCTTTTTAATGGCGTTGGTGATGTCTGAGGCGTCTTCTTCTGTGTAATTGCTTATTCTATCTAAAAAAAAAATATAGCCTACATGTAAAAGTATACACACCCTAAACAGTGTACGCACACCCAAACCCAAAACCATTTTAAACATTTTCTATTTAATATAGAAAAATGATTGAAAGCTCTAATAAATGAGCTCTAATAAGAGTGGACCCTACTGTGATGTGATGTTTTGGTCTTGATTTTATTTTTTTCAATTTTTTTTTATTTTCTACCACATCATTAGAATTCAATCAGAATTTCAAAATTAGATAGATGTATCATTATTCTTTAATATACCCTACATTTTCATATTTCCATACCCAAAACTAGTTGAAGAAGTTAGGACCTCAATTGAAGAACCTCCATTACCTCTATTGGAGTTTCCATGCTATAAATTTGCAATTAGTTTACTCTTTTTTCTTTCTTTTTATAGATTTGTATTTATATAATTTGCAAAAGTTTCAATTTTTTATTTTTTTAATTTTTAAAAAAAATCATTTTTGAATTATGGAACCATTCCAAAGTTGATAATGGAAAAAATTATCTCCAGTTTGGAACATGATAGTGGAAATAATGTCTAATTCGGAAGTAGATTGTCAAAATAGAGTGATGTTAGGATCCCAAATAATCTATTAAATTTTTTATCAAATCTTTCAAATAAGTGTGAAATTTACACACATATAAATTTGTATGAATCTCATATCTATGTGAGAGATTTGATAAAAAATTAGATATGGTATTTGGTATCCATAGTTCTAATTATTTCGAAAGTTGAATGTTTAAAGTATTGATTAGTTTCAGCACTAGTTTGACGAAATTCGCCAAGAAAAAAGGACGGCTGTGAACCTGATATTTTTATTGATAACTTTATCGTAAATGATGACATCCTTTTTATTTATAAAAAAAAAAAAAAAACAAACAAACAGATCAGTGTGTTTGGTTTAAATTTTTTGAATTAAATTTTTTAAAAATTAAGTTTTTAGTTTTCATGTTTTTATATTTGTAGTGAATATTTTTTAAATTTTAAATATTTTTTTCACTTTTTAGATGCACCTTACTTAGATGTATCTAAAAAGTAAAAAACTTATGAAAAAATATTTTAAAAAATTAATAAATACATAAAAATATAAAAAATGTATTGAATTCTCGTATTTTTTTTTTATATTTTGGGTATTTAGTAAATTTTTAAAAGATTTTCTTCACAATTTTTTTACTTTTTAGATACATCTAAGTTAGGTATGTTTAAAAATTTAAAAATTGTTTAAAATATTAAAAAAAATTAATAAAAACAAAAAAAATACGAAAAATAAGAAAGTAAAATTTTCTGAAAAATGTTTATTGAAAAGTGAAACCAAGCATAGTGATATGATGACATCATTTTCAAAATTTGAGCTTTCATTTTACAAATCCCCAAAACACAAATGAAGAATGAGGGTGGTTCTTGAAAGAAGAAAATTGACTCAAACACTAAGCTAACGAGGGTGTTTGTTTCAGCTTTTCGGAGTCAACTTATGACTTTTAACTTTGAAAAAGTTATTTTGGACTGTTTGGTTAAACTTATTTCAAATAATTTCTTATTCTAACAACTTATTTTAACTTAAAAAAGCTGATTCTGATAAGCTGCTCACCCATTGCTTCTGATTATCAGCTTCTGCTGTGGACATGTTAATTTATGGTTATACTCTTAAATTTTTTTATTTTTTATTTTTTTAAAAATAGAAAAAGACTCAAATGGATTATAGATTATTATTATTATTTTTTATGAGAAATGTAGACAAACAAAAAATAAAAATTAATTGAAAAAGCTATTTCACAGCTTATTTAACAAACACTACTCAGCAACTTAAATCTATAATCCAACAGCTACACCAAACAGATTAACAACTTCTGATTAAAGTCATAATCTATAATCTATTAAGTTATAATCTATAAGCTTTTTTAACAGCTACACCAAACGGGACCAATGAGAGAGTTTGACGGCAATGGGAGGACTAAAATAAGGTTACAATGGAGAATAGACGTAAGGTTTAATATGTTTAATATTGTGCTTCCAACAGATGTGTTGCTTTGAATTGAAAAAATTTAGATATAAGGTAGAGAGTATATACTAATGTCTATATTAATAATTTTATTTGGGGATAAAATTTTAATAAGAATATAATTTAAAATGATATCTAGAAATAGAAACTCCCATAAAAATGCTTCAAAATCACTCAAACATTTAAAAAAATAAAAAAATTCAAAAACTATAATTACATAAATGGAAGAGTATAGATACCGCCTACCTCAAAAATCCATAAAACATTTTCTTGGCTTCATTTTTGTTGGAGAGCTTGCTTTTGAACCGATATACCGAGAAATATATATATATATTTGGACTTGCTTTTGGGGTTTGCCTTGCCGAGCACTATCTTGAACTATAGAGGTAAAAAAGGCACACCAAGTGTATGATAATATGGTCGAGAGAGTGTAGGGATGGTTGATTGGCTTGATTTTGTCACTAATTTGCAACTCTCTCTCTCTCTCTCTCTCTCTCTCTTTTCTGTGTCGCCTTCCAAAAGTTTCCTAATCTTTTTCTGTGCAAAAGGTTGCGATTTTCCAGAGGGTATGTGAGACTCTATGATTATGAATTTATTATTTTCTTTCTTAGGTTTCCAGGTTGGAAAAGATTAAACTACTTTACACGTTACCAACCAATAATCTTCAAATTATTAATATTTTTTAAAAATTTTACTTGTATTGCACCTGACAAAAAAAATTGACCGAGCGGCTTGCCAGACTTGACTTCTTCCGCAAATGCTAAAAAATTTATAGTTGACTTTATTCGTTGCTGTTCTTTTATAATTACTTAGCCCTGTTTGACAACAGGTTAGTTTAGTTAAAAAGTCAAAAAATTATTAAAAAAATTAAAAAGTCAAAGATTTTTTTTTCTCTATATTTTTTGCATATCTTTTCTTAAAAAGTCAAAAAATTATTCCAAACAAACGATATTAGGTTTTTTCAACACATATTTTAGCCAAAAAATCAAAAATTTACTAAATTAATTTGTTCCCATACGAGGCCTTAATTCACCATATGGTCATTTTCCATCTGATCTACAAGACACCAAGAACTTTGTTTGTTTGTTTGTTTATTTCGTGTCTTTTTCTTGTTTAATTATGATTAATTTTTTTTTATTATAATTTTATTTTAAATATAACTAATGAGATATTTAGTTATGCCTCATATATTATTTGGTTATGACATTTTTTTTTAAATTTTAATTATGACTAAGAAAGTATTAAATTATACTATTTTTTCTTTAATTATAAGGTACATATGGTACATACATTTTGAATGGTATGCACCATAGTCTTCCCCATAACTATGTTGACCTTCCTTTTTCTATAATTAAAATAGCTAAACTAATACAAATGGGGATAAGGGTTGGGTGTTGTCACAACACCCGTATTGTAACACCTCGTGCAGTTAGTACCAATTTTATTTAATAATTCGAACTGTTTATACTATAATGTTTATCGAATATATCAACCATATTAAAATAAGATTAACTAGACATGCGTAAATCCACGATTAGACCCTAATTGTTTTTAAAAAATTAACAAAATCATATTAATCTTTTTTTTTTTTAACATATATGCAGTATGGTTATGAGCTAAAGATTCTAATTAATCTAATTTTTTTCTCAGATAATTTACTCAATAAAACCTGTAATATGAACAATTCATATCATGAAAATAAATTCGAAACATGCTTCCACAGGCTCACAACACCAACCACACTTTGTGCAACTGGTGTCTAGACATAGATAATAAAAAATTATATGTATATATATTATAAAATATATGATAACTTAATTTTTTTCGTCAATACAAATATTGCTGCAAAAAGAGAAAATGTTGTATGAAATAAAGTTTTAAAGAAATATATTCATAAAGCATAATATAATTTTTTTTTTCCAAAACCTTAAAAGTTATTAATGTAAGGAATTACCCTAACAAAAATGCTAGTATAGCGCTAGAAGTAAAGGGAGAATGAACTGGAATTTTTGTTTCTAAACCTCTACACAGAAATATCATTTATTGATAATATAATAAATGATAATTTTATTTGAACATTATAATAGAATAATCATTTTATTCAATTCCACTCCTACCCAATTAATTAAGAAAGGAGATTATTTCAAGTTCAAAATTTAAACTTGACTGTTATGAGATTCATCATGTGTCCTATTTTAATAATTTGAAATGTTTATTTTGTAAGTTTTACCATGTATATCATTTATAAAAAAAAAATTTAAAAAATAAAAAAATTAAAAAAATAAAAATTAAATAAGTTTAATGATTATAATATTTTTATTTTATGGGTTTATTTTTGGAATCAATAAGAAGTCTCCACGGTATGGTGTTCACACAATGCCTACTGTGTAACACGGGTCAAGCAACCTTATCCCACTAAGAGCATCTCCAATGCACTAGGCATATAATACTTGTTAGTTAAAATGCCTAGTGTGATTCACTTTTTTCAATTCCAATGCACTAGGCATATGATTAGGCTTTTTGGCTCAACTCATATTCACTAGCCACATGTAGCTAGCCTTCAACGCTAGGCAAAATGTATTCAATCATTAGGATCATTTCCCTCCATCTTTGTTGTTGACGTGGCATTCTATAAAATTAATAGTATTTAGATAAATAGCTAAAATAAAGAGCATGGTTGGAGTAAAAACATAAAACAGTTGATAGGCAAAATAAAATATATACTTTATAGTAATATTTAGATAGGTAAAATGCCTACTACCTTCGGCTACTAACTTCCGAAATATTCACATATTTTCAAACCTTAGTTTTCAAGTTTCAATGTTTAATTCAAAAGTTGAGTTTCGAATTTTGTACAACATTTCGGTTATGTAGTACCAACTTAAAAAGAAATTGTTTTAGTGCTTCAGTGTCTTTCTAGGGAAAATGCTAGAGGTCCCAAATTTTCTACCAAATAAATGACCAAATGTCTC